TGCCCCCTAGATTTTGGGAAGTCAGTTCTCAAAAGGTTCAGCAAAAGTCTTGGTGGAATTCTAGAGTCCAAAGTTTCAGAGGGGATGGAAGCTTCTGAAGAAGAACAAAATTCTTATGGCGCAAACACAGACAATTCTAAAGAGGAAGAGAATGGAGAACCACCTGAAGAGACCAGTATGGTATACCCAGGAAAGTCATCAACCCACTTGTATTTTTAAAAGACATATGTGGAAGATGGAAGCAAAAACAAATAACTGAGGATGAAGGCAAAGAAGTGACACGGTCCTGGAAGAATGTCAGGAAGTCCAGAATGAGTTGAAGCTTAGAATGAGTGTTAAGGAGGAAAAAAGCTTTTAAAAGTCATTTGGGGGGCAGCTAGGTGGCATAGTAGACAGAGCACCAGCCCTGGAGTCAGGAGGACCTGAGTTCAAATCCAGCTTCAGGCACTTGATACTTACTAGAAGTGTGACCCTGGGCAAGTCACTTAGCCCCAATTGCTTCACCAAAAAAAAAAAAAGTCATTTGGGAGGGAGAGGTTAAAAAAAAGGAAGACCAGGAAAAAGGTTTAGGGTTACTCCTAAGAGGGAATGGGACAACAACAGAAAACAGAGAGAAATCAAAACTATTCAACTCCTATCTTGCTATTTTTATTTGTCCTGGAAAGCTGTGGTAGTTGTAAAAAACCTCTGTTTTCCTGGGAACTTGTTTTTCTCTATTCTACTCTGTCTCCCTCCTTCTGCCTGTTACTCCTGACCTTTTCCTTCTCTGGAACTCCCTGTATCTGGAATCTATCTTTCTGGAAACATTCAGCTTCCCAGTAAATTATTATCCATCTGTATGTGACAGTAGAGGTGGGGAACCAATCAGACATGTCTAGACAGGATCAGTCACTCCCTGTAAAACACTGGCCTCATGGAGTAGCCCTGTTGTGTGGCCCTGCATGGAAAAAGAGGGAGCAGTGAAATCCTGCCATAACTTGAGTGTTAGATAATTGAATCTCCTGCCATGATCCAAAGGTGATCTTATCCCAGGCCCAGATGCACCCTGCTGGCTAGGATACAGCTATAACTTTCCCTTTCCAGTGACTGTAATCCAGTTGTATACAGGGTGTCCCAAAAGCCTTAAGGTGGTTTTAAACTATACGTTTATAGCTAAGACTTGGAAATTGGGGGGGGGGAGCGGTGGAGTCAAAATGGTGGAGTAGAGGAAGCAGCTGAGATCTCTCAACATTACCCTCCAAACAACTTTAAAATAATGCCTCAAATTGAATTCTGGAATGGCAGAGCCAACAAAGGGTCTGGGTAAGCCATTTTTCCAGACCAAGACAACTTAGGAGGTTGGAAGGAGAGATCTGTGACACAGGGATAGGGACTGGTCCAGCGTGGCAACACCAGCTGGGGGCATTGGAGGTGGCAAGGAGAACAGCAGCAGCTTTCGGGGGCTCTCAAGCCAGAGATGACAAGAAGATCTGGCAACTGGTCAGAAAGAGATTACAGGGGGCAGGTAGGTGGCGCAGTGGATAGAGCACCGGCCCTGAAGTCAGGAGGACCTGAGTTCAACTCCAGCCTCAGACCAAATACTTGACACTCACTAGCTGTGTGACCCTGGGCAAGTCACTTAACCCCAGTTGCCTAAAAATTAAAAAAAAAAAAACCAGAAAGAGATTACAGGGACCCTTGTGCTACCACTGGATGCAGGACAGTTGTTTGGTAGCTCCACTGACCATACCCACTTCCAGGTCACAGTTCGAGGGTGGCGAGGAGTGCATATCCAAGGGATCAGGGACCCTTCCTAGGTAAGGACCAGAGCACTGACCGGGAGAGCAGTGACCACACTTCTCCCCAGATCACACACCTTGGAAGGACCAAAGAACTTCCAAACTCCCAGAACTAACTCTAAAAAGAAAAGTACAAAAGAGCCTGAATCTTGGAAGTGACCTCCCCTCCCTTCCTGGAAATATAGCCCATCTTTAACATAAAGTTCAAAGTCAAGAAATAGATTGGGAAAAAAAAAAAAGCAAACAACAAAGAAAGAGCCTGACCATAAAAAGCTACTATGGTGATAGGAAAGAGCAAGACACAAACTCAGAGGAAGATGATGATGTCAAAACAGCTACAAGTAAAAAGTGAATTGGACACAAACCCCAAAAGAATTCCTGGAAGAACTAAAAATTATTTTAAAAATCAAATAAGAAAGGAAAAATTGGGGTAAAATGAGAGCAATGAAAAAAATTATGAAAAAACATTTAATGACTTGGTGGAAGAGGCACAAAAAAATACTGAAGAAAATAACACCTTAAAAAATGGAATTCATCAAATGGTAAAAGAGGTATAAAACTTCACTGATGAAAATAATTCATTAAAAACTAGAATTGGATAAGTGAAAGCTAATACCTCCATAAGACATTAAGAAATAATTAAACAAAGTCAAAAGAATGAAAAAAAAAGAAGAAAAAGTGAAATATCTCAGGAAAAAAACTGACCTGGAAAATAGATTGAGAGATAATTTAAGAAATATTAGATTATGAAAGCCATGATCATAAAAAGAGCCTAAACATCATATTTCAAGAAATTATGAAGGAAAACTGCCCTGATATCTTGGATCCAGAGGGTAAAAATAGAAATGGAAAGAATTTACCAATAACCTCCTGAAAGAGATCTTAAAATGAAAACTCCCAGGAATATCATAGCCAAATTCCAGAGCTTCCAGGTCAAGGCAAGCAGCCAGAAAGAAATAACTCAAATATCACGGAGCCACAGTTAGGATTATACAGTTTTTACATTAAAGAAGTGGAGGCTAGGTGGCACAGTGGATAGAGCACCAGCCCTGGATTCAGGAGGACCTGAGTTCAAATTTGGCCTCAGACACATAACACTTACTAGCTGTGTGACCTTGGGCAAGTCACTTAACCCCATTGCCTAGCCCCACCCTCCCAAAAAAAGAAGTGGAGGGTTTGGAATATGATATTCCAGAAGACAAAAGAGTTAGGATCACAACCAAGAATAGCCTACCCAGTGAGACTGAGTACAATCCTTCAAGGGAAAAAAGGATATTTAATGAAATAGAACACTTTCAAGCATTGCTGATGAAAAGCCAAAGCTGAACAAAAAATGTGACTTTCAGATATAAGATTCATGAATAGTATAAAAGGTAAACATAAAAGAGAAATCATAAGGGACTCAATAAAAGTAAACTGTTTACGTTCCTATGTGAGTTTGGTGCTGTGCTCTGCTGTGAAATCATGGAGCTGTGAAAAGGCCTGAGATGCTAGCACTGGAACTCTGAAAATTTCACGGGACTAGGTGAAATACATGGGACTTTACCACGTCACCCCCACTACAACAGTATGGTGTGGGAAGGCCACGCTAGTGGAGGCATTTAAGAAAGAATGCAAATGACCACTTGCCAACGGACAATCAGGCTGACCACAACCTTGTCTTTAGGGGACTAGTTTGCTTGTGCAGCAAAGATCAATTCCAGGTCAGCTTCAGCTCTCAGAAAGGACACGGCCACACGATATGAGCTTCATGGAAAGTATCCCTGACGTGGGCGTGTCTCCAGCAGTAGGAAAGCAGCTGGAGTTGTGTCTGGTCTCCTTCCCTAGGCGTCTCGTGCTCTGCGGCTGTGTTGTTGAGCTGTTGCAGGCGTGTCCAACTCTCCATGACCCCATTTGGAGTTTTCTTGGCAAAGACACTGGTGTGGTTTGTCATTTCCTTCTCCGGCTCATTTTACAGTATTTGGTACTTTCCCTAGAGGGAACTGGTGGGGAAGGGTGTGGGGAGTCAGTTTTCTGGCCAGGGCTACATCACTGATGATATGGCTATTCAAAGACAGCCCAGGATGCATTTCTGATATGGAGATTGTTATGAGACTCTAGCTTTTGTTGCTGTTCAGTCGTTTTCAGTCATGCCCAACTCTTCATGACCCCATTTGGGGTTTTCTTGGCAGAGATACTGAAATAGGTTTCCATTTTCTTCTCCAGCTCATTTTACAGATCAGGAAACTGAGGCAAACAGGGTTAAGTGACTTGTCTAGGGTCACATGGCTAGTACATGTCTGAGGCCAGATTTGAATTCAGGAAGATGAATCTTCCTGAATCCAGGCCTGGCACTCCATCCACTGCACCAACTAGCTGCCCATGAGACTGTACCATCATCCTAAAAGCATTTTTGAGTCTCCCCCTCCCCCATCCCATAGTTGTTTACTGTTCAACAAGGATGGAGGACCCTCGTCACAAACGTAACACCACACACCATGGCAAAAGAATAATAATTATTATAATAGCAATATTTTACACCTAGGTTCACACCTACCTGCCTGAAGCATCCACAAACTACATATTTACAGTATATATAAGTAGGGTGGTAGCCTTCCACCCCAGCCCCTCAAAGCCCCCTGGGTTGAGGGGCAAGTCTGTGCTGGCGACCCACTCCTCCAGGCCAGCCTGCTGGGAAGGAGAGAGCTGGTGGGGGCAGAGGGGCAGAATGGAGGTTGCACAACTTTCTGCACCTCCCCAGGGACCCTCCCTCCCACACAAATAGCTCGACGGGTATTATCACTCCAGATATCAGCAAATGCCTGTCCTAAGCCAGAAGGATGACCTGGGAGGGAGGGTGGATGTGCAAATGGGGGATGAAGTAGGGGAACTTTGGTGGCCTCCCTGGTTCTAGTTTGTCCTATCTCATCTCCTGGAGGCTGGTGAAGATGGGGCATTACATACACATGGGATGCATGCGCACACAGATGCGGGAGCTCATGCTGTGCCCCAGAGAGCGTGCCCACGATGGCATGCACAGCCAGCCAGGGGCACAGCCCTGGGCCTGGCCCCATGCAGTAGGCAAAGGTGGAAAGAAGCAGCCCAGGCCCTGCCTGGGGAAGGGGAGGGGAGGCTGGCTGGGGGTCAGAGGGCAGGGGAGGCCGAGGAGTCTGCTGGGTCCCCGGGGACAGGGGCAGGGGCAGGGGACTCAGTCTGTGGTGGGTGGTTCTGTGGAGCCTCCCCATGGGGTTGTTTCTCAGTCAGGCTCGGCTCTCGGGCTGGCAGCTGCAGGAATTCCGGGAGTACCAGGTCCTCTTTGCGGAGCAGCCCCCGCTGGTCGTCAGCTCTGCTACTCTGGACCCTGTTAAGCAGCTCCACCAAACCTGGTGGGGGCAAGGAAGAGGGATGCAGTTGGGCTGGCACAACACCACACCCCTTCTCCCCCAGCCTCCCTCTCCTCTCCCTCATCCCTGGCTCACTCCTCCCCGGCTGAGGATCAGCCCATACTGCTCCCCTGGGTGTTCTCTCCCCCACCACCCCCAGCCCCAGGCCCCTGCCCCTTACTCCCTCTCAGAAAGGTCCAGGAAGTTCCTTCCCTGCCCCCAACCGTCCCCAGAACCAAGGATGGCCCGGCACCTTCAATGTCGCACGTGTGACGCTTCCCAGTGCTCCTGGGCCCCTCGGCCAGCGAGTTGGTGAGCAAGGAGGGAGGCTGTGATGTCTTTCCCTCAGTTTGGAGGGGGCCACCCTGCAAGGACGCTGTGTTAGTGACTTCTGGGGAGGGGTTAGCTTCCTAGAGAAGGGAGAAGAAATAGGCCTGCCCCAGCCTTACCTGACTCTGACTAGGAGAGTTGGACTCAGTTCTTGTGATCTTCACGCCTGCAATAGACAAGTGGCTTTGTTTGGATCCACCATACTTTCCCCTGCCCAGTCCCACCTCCCCACGAATCCCAAGAGAGGAAGTCAGGGGTAACACTGATACTCTCCCCTATTCTGGTGGCAGTACAAGGGGAAGAGGAAGAAGCTTTGGGGCTCAGCTGTTCCCAGCCTCCTAAGGAAACTTTTTTTTTCTTAATATGCCAGATCCCAACCCTCCTGTCCCATCTATAGAGCAGATGACCTTGACTTCTATTTTCTTGTGCCCTGCCCCCTTTAAAATTTTTTGAACTACAACTATGATTTCATTCCTGGAGGGGAAACTCTACCTACCAGTACTAACTGGTACCTGCTCTGCAATTTATATTATAGGGAGAGTTTCCAGGGATACTGAGACCTGAAGTGATTTACCCAGGAGCACATAGCCAGTATGTGAAATGGGAACTCAGATCTTCTTGACTCCAAGGCTGGCTCTCCTAGCCACTACACTGCCTCTTACTTTACCTACATAGAAGATTTAGAGCTGGAAGAGATCTTCAAAATATCTAGTTCAATGCCTAAATTTTACAGATGGAGAAACTGAGGCCAAGAAGGGGTAAGTGATAGACAAATAGAAAAACAGATAGCTAGATATAAAGATGGCTAGATAGAAAAACAGAGATAGATATAGATAGACAGACAGACAGACAGATAGATACATAGATAGTATCAGAGCTAGGATTCAAACCCAGGTCTTTCAACTCCAGTGTTCTCTCTTAAAACTCATCAAATCAGATCCAGCGAGGTGGCACAGTGGATAAAGCACCGGACTTGAAGTCAGTGAGACGTGGATTCAAATGTAGCCTCAGATAACTTACTAACTGTGTGACCTTGGGCAAGTCACTTGTAACCTCTGCCTGCCTCGCTTTTCTGTAAAATGAGGATAATAATAACACCTGCATCTCAGGGTTGTTGTGAGGATAAAATCAGATTAACGGGCTTGGCAAACCTTAAAGTGCTATCTGAACGCTAGGTCTCATTATTTTGCCTTGCTTCCCACATAGGAAGGATCTTGCTTAGGGCAGGCAGACAATAAATAATGGTCACTGGGGGATCAAATTTAATTTAAGGATCCCCCACTGCATGCAGGGCCCCTGAGCCAGACTTTGCTGTGAGAGATTAAGAGATGAACAAGACATAATCCTTACCCCCAAGGAGCTCATAGTCTAATAGAGAAGATAGAATATTACAGATTGAATTTTTGTTGTTGTTCAGTCATTTTTAAAATACTAAAGAGTTAAATAACAATTCAAGATCTAACAGCTAACAGTTAAATAATGACAAAAGATTAGGAAATAGGAGGCCACATCTGATTAAGGGCCAAATAAGTGGGGCAGTCAGCAAGTGCCACGTTTAGTCATTTTTCAGTCATCTGACTCTTTGTGACCCCCTTTTTGGGGGGGGGGGTTCTGGCAAAGATATTGGAGTGGTTTGTCATTTTCTTCTCCAGTTCATTTTACAGATGAGGAAACTGAGGCAAAAAGAGTTAATTGACTTGCCCAGCATCACACAGCTACCAAGTGTCTGAGGCTAAATTTGAACTCAGGTCTTCCTGACTCCAGCCCTGGCGCTCTATCCACTGCACCACCTAGTTGCCCTAGCAAGTGCCATAGAAGGGTCAAAGTAAAGGCTGCTTTGAGACACAGCCTGGCACCAGAGAAAAAGCTTGGAGTCAGAAGGTCATCGATAAGAAGAAAGTTTCCATATGGACTAAAATATTTATCGCAGAATGCATGGTGCTGGCAAAGAACTGGAATGAAGCAGATGCTCATGAGTCACGGCATGGCTGAACCAGGTACAGTAAGTGGATATCATGGAATATGATTATGCTGTAAGATAAGATTAATGTGATGAATGCAGAGAAGTTTGGACAGATTGACATGAACTGAAACAGAGTGAAGTAAGCAGAGCCCAGAAAACTACATACACAATAAATACAGAGGTGTAAATGGAAAGGACAAACACACACACACACACACACACACACACACACACACACACACACACACAAATGAATGTCTCAAAATTACAAAGAACAAAGATGCCCCAAAGAAGAGATGTCTCCACTCCTTTGAAGAGGTAGAAGATCCACAGGTGTGGGGTGCTGCACATAATTTCATACTTTTTTGATGTATTGATTGTTTTTTCTGATTTTTTTTCCTCTTTCTCTTTTTTTTTTCCCTTAAAAAAATATTCTTTGTTGCATGAGCTGACTCTCTGGGAGGGAAAGGGGAGGGGTACTGGGAGACATTTTGGTAAAGTTGAAAAAAAAGATATAAATAAGAATAATTTTATTTTAAAAAGTGCTTAGTCATGAAGAATGGGTTTGAATCCTGCCTCTGACATTTATTAACTGTCTGACATGGAACAAATTGCTTAATCTCTCTGAGACAGCTTCCTCGTGTGTAAAGGGAGGATAATAATAACTGTGGCCCTCTCCACCTCACTATTGTGAGAAAAGTGTTTTCTATATCTTAGGGGTTTGGGGAAATGGGAGCCAGTGTTATCTGGGGTAGAGTGTGTATGTTCATGCATATGTGTGCATGTTCACATGTGTATGTTCATGTGTATGTGTGTGCATATGTTCATGCGTATGTGGGTATGTTCATGTGTGTGTACATATGTGTATGTTCATTTGTGTGTATATTGGGGGAGCATTTCAGGCCTACACTCTCATCTCAGCTTCTTCACCTCCACATAATTCTTTCTGTCATTCCTATCATTCCTTATCTTTTCATCCTTTCTCATGCTTTTCAGCCATTCTCTCCTCTCTCTCTCTTTTTGGTGAGGCAATTGGGGTTAAGTGATTTGCCCAGAGTCACACAGCTAATGAGTGTTATGTGCATGAGACTGGATTTGAACTCAGGACCTCCTGACTCCAGGGCAGGGGCTCTATCCACTGCGCCACCTAGCTGTCCCATTTCATCCATTCTCAAAAAGAAAAATTGTCTTTAGCTTTGTCTCCAGGTTTAATTTCTCTATGTGTGCACCAGATCCCATTTCTTTTGTCTTCTGAGGTCTCACTCCCCCACTCATCCATCCCTGTCTTCTCCAGTCTCTTCTTATCTTCTTTCCTTTGGTCTACAGAAAATCCCCCTTTGACCCTGCTACCTCTTCTAGCCACCATCTTATTTTCATCTTCTTTTCACTGTCAAACATCTCAAATGAGGCATCTACAACTGCTGCCTCCCCTTGCTCAGCACTATGCTTATCATGGTGCCTAGCACACAGTAGGAGCTTAATAAATGTTTATTGACTGTCTGACTGCCTGTCTGACCTAGTCCCTCCTTAAGCACCTCTAAACTGGCTTCCATTCCCACCACTATACTGATGCTACTCTTTGAGGTCTTGCCAAACCCACTAGTCTTTTCTCAGTCTTTAACCTCTTTGCCTTCTCTGTGGCTTGTGACACTGTGGACCAGTCCTTCCTGCTAGTAACTCAGTTCCTTTGACTTCCATGGTACTGTACTTCCTCTGTCCCTCTCCTATCCTTCTGGTTGTTTTTTCCCTTTTTCCTTTGTTGTGTCTTTTTGTACCTGCTGGCCCCTCACTGTGGGCATTCTTCAGAACTCAGTCCTGCTGGCCCAATGACTTCTTTCTCTGCCTTCTACCTCTGTGAACTGACCTTGTATCGTGACTGCTACCACTGTCTCTGTTATGATGACTGTTAGGTAAACAAGAGACCTGGAGACAATGTTATACAAGGTTCAGGTAAAAGGACAGAGGATGCTGCTGAGCGTCTAGAATAGAAGCCTTCATGGGTACATAGTCTGTCCAGTTGCGTCCAACTCTCTGTGACCCCATTCTGGGTTTTCTTGGCAAAGATACTGGAGTGGTTTGCATGTCCTTCTCCAGCTCATTTTACAGATGAGGAAACTGAGGTAAACAGGGGGTAAGTGACTGGGTCACACAGGGTCACACAGCTAGTAAGTGTCTGAGGTCACATTTGAACTCAGGAAGATGAATCTTTCTGACTGTAGGCCTGGAGCCCTGTCCACTGCAACACCCAGCTGCCCTCAGGGACACAGTCACTATCTTCAAATATTTAAAGAGATATCATAGTGAAAGAGGGCTTCAAGTTGCTTTAATTGACCCCAGAATGTAGAAATAGAAACAATGGGAAGAAATTTTAGAGAGACATAAAGATACAAGGGACATAAGGATATAAGGGAAAACTTTCTTATGCCTAGAGCTCCCTAAAAATAAAGTGCTTTTTCATGGGAAAAGCCAGAAAGTCCCTGGAAATGATGAGTTCACCATGCCTGGGGGAATAGATTTGTTTGGAATGTTGCAGAGAGGATTCCTGATCACGTATGAGTGAGAGTAGGTCCTCCCTGGTTCTGAGATCCTCTGATGCTTATTTTCTATAATGTCCAACTCTGTATCCTGGCATTCAAGGCCTTCCACCTTCTAGTCTCAACCCACCTTTACAATCTTTCCCCCTTCCTCCCCCATCCTTCAAACATTCCTCAACAACTTCAGCTCGCATAGATCAGAGTTTTAGTGCTGGAAAGGATCTTAAAAGTTATCAAGCTTCTCATTTTACAGATGAGGAAACAGGCAGAGTAAGATGAAGTGTGACCCATTGACCGTCACATAGTGATTAAATGGCAAAGCTAAGACTTGAACCCGGCTCCAAGTCTAGCGTTCTTCCCATAATGTCAGCTGCCTCTAACAGTGAAGCTCCTTTTCTTCAATACCCCATCCTTGGCACTGACCCTGTAACCAGGCCTTGAGTGCAACAGGCACTTAATAATGTAAATTTTTTGTGTTGAATTGAACAGATTTAGATGGAATTCTGTTAGTGCCCTGCTGGTGTCTCCCATTTCTTCTGTATTCCCTCTGGAACCAGCATGGGGCTTGGGCAGATAATCTGAGTGACACAACCTTGGGGGCGCAGAGCCTGTGGGCCCCTGTACCTGGAAGAGTGTCCAAGACGAGTCTCTGGGCGGATACAGAGCTCACAAGCTTCTCCAGATCTAGAGTCCGCTTCTCACCTGACTGTAGGGGCACAGGGTCAGGGGTTGGGAGAGATCAGGGCTCCCTCTGGGCTCAGCTCAAGGGCCGCCTCCTACAGAGGGTCTTCCTGGATGCCCACAGGTGCCAGAGCCCTCCCCACCCCAACCCTTGTCAGAAGTTGCCTTTATTTTTTTTTTTTCAATCTAGACCTGTGATTTAATCGCCTACCTGGGGGGAGGGGAGAGTGTTGTGAGAATCAAATGAGATAATATTTGTAAAGCCTTAGAATAGTGCCTGACACATACTTGGTGCTTAATAAATGCTTGTTCCCTTCTCCCTTCCCTAATCACTAGAAGGAACTCTCTCTGCCAATACAGATCTGAAACTTTTGTAATTTATAGCTTAAAAGAGTTTCCCTGAGGGTTTAAGTGGTTTGCCCAGGGTTACACAGCCAGTATGTCAGAGAAGGGACATATAATCAGGCCATCCTGACTCTGAAGCTGGCTTTCTGGCCAGCATAGCTCACTGCCTGTCTGCTTGGCTTTTACTCTGTGTAACTTTTGTATTCACTCATCTCAGCACCAGCTATGTGCCCTGCTCCCTTTATAATGTAGGTTTCTGAAGGGCAGGGACTGCTTTGAGGTTTTTTTATCTCTTTATCCCTGGTGCCAGGCACATAGGGGGCACAGTAAGTACATGCCTATTGAATTGAACTGAAGCTCCTCACTCTTCTATCCAGATTTCCTCCCTTAGTGTCCCCCACACCCTTTCTCTCTCAGCCTCTCCCC